TTCAAAAAAGGAGCAAGGAAGAGTCTAAAAATCTCTAACAGATATTCAAAGATTTTTTTTAAAAAAGGTATTTTAAAGTTACAAGACAGGAAGGAGATTTTGCTGTCAGACTTAAACAATTTTTAACTTTTTTTAGGAGAGCAATTATTAACAAACATCTGATGGAAAATCTCGTTCATTTATTTTACTTGTTTTGACATCTGCAGATAATGACAAGCTGGAGGGGAAAACAGGTTTAAGGATGGCAGCAATTAGTTAATTTGTGACTAATTACTAAAAAATAACACATGCAGCTCTGTTGTTTCTCCAGAGGGGAGAGCTACAAATTACTGTGGTTGTTACTGTTGCTGCTGCCTCTGCTGGCGGTATTGTTGTTCTTAAAAGACTGCAGCCTTCAGACGCTTGTGCATATTAATATTGCTTGAGGTTTATCAGGTTGCCATCGCCGCCTGGGTTCCCTTCTGCCAGTGGGACGTGACGCCCTGGGAGTCAGAGTTGCTACGGAGTCCACATATGTAAATGCATCCTGGGAAGCAGGTCAGTGTGGAAACAGCCTCTGTTCTTCCCACAGTTCCACATCCTGTTCATTTTGATGCACTGACCAAAACACACCTGCTTCCAGCCCGCTAGCCCTCTCATGCTTGCATCCTCTCCAGCTCAGTTACCCTCCCATCTCCCCTCCGTTCCTCTAGTAACCCTTCTCTGTGCTCTTCTAAACTCCTGGACACATTCTCATTTAGCCCTTTTGGCAACGCTCCCTCTCCCCTCTCTCCTAAACTGAAAGCTGGCTTTTCCCAGATAATGACAGCACTGAACTTGAACTTCCTCTGTCTAGTTGTGCCATCCTCTTCTGACCTCCCTCTTTGTCTTCTAACCTCTAGGGGACCTCCAAGCTTTCCTGTTGGTCCTGTCCCCCCTCACCCCTTGTGCGATGACACATGGACTAGACCCCAGCCACAGCTACTTTATCTCCTCTACTCCAAAGCTGTTGGCTTTAGTTCCACCTCTTGTTGATTTAAGTTCCACCTACAGGCCCAAAGTCAATGCTTCCAGCCTTGTGGTCATTTTCCTACAACTTGACTGACATTCTCTCTGCATCTCCAAAGCATGGAAAGCCACAGGACATGGTGCTTAGGAATGTGGTGTCTGGATTAAACTCCACAGGTAAAGTCCTTTACTACTTATTACTTCTGTGATTCAGGGCAAAATGCTGAAACTTTCCAGGCCTCAGCTTCCTCATCCATAAAATGATGACAATAATGTCATCTATTCCACAGGGTTGTGTTATGAAGACTAAAAAGGAAAAACTCCTTGGTGTAAGTTAGACTGTCTGAAGGTAGGAGAACACCCAGCCAGCTCAGATTGGCACACAAAACAGAAGTGCTTCATCGGCTCACGTTTCTCAAAGTCCAGAGGAAAGGTGGGCTTCAGGCTTGGACTGAGTCAGTGGTTCAGCCATGGATCAAGGATCTAATTTCTTTCTTGCCCCCTGTTCCATCTTCTAAGTTGTCAGATTCAGTTTCAGGCTGGTTCTCCCTCACGGTTAAGAGAGGCCATCATTGGGTTATAGGTTTCCTCATCCAAAACAAATGAGTGAAGAAAATGATCACATCAGAAAGCTCTCCCAGAACAGTAAGGGGGAGCTTTCCGAGACATTCTCAGAAAACCTCTCACGTCCCATTGTCCAGATGTGCATAACAAGCCCATTCCTGAAGCACTGCCTGGAGCAGAAGAATTACTAATTGCCTCAGCCTGCTCATGTGGGCCAATCACTGTAGCATAGGAAATGGGACTCCAAACCCTGGAAAGTATTTATCTGCCTATAAACTTCACAGTAAGTATGAGATGGAGATGGAGAGGAGATTGGATGCTGGGAAAATGACCCAACACCCACTGTGGAAGGTGGTGGGAAGGGGTAAATTGGGAGTTTGAGATTTGCACATATTAACTACTATATATAAAATAGATAAACAACAAGTTTATACTATGTAGCACAGAGAACTATATTCAACTTATGGTGAAAAAGAATATGAACATGAATATGTGTATGTTCATGTATGATTGAAGCATTGTGCTGTACACCAGAAATTGACACAACACTGTAAACTGACTATACTCAATAAATATATATATATATATATAATAAAATAAAAATAAAAATAGACTTATCATATGATCCAGCAATCCCACTCCTGGGCATACATCCAGAGGAAACTCTAATTCAAAAACATACATGCACCCTAATGGTCATAGCAGCACTATTTACAATAGCCAAGGCATGGAAACAACCTAAATGTCCACTGACAGATGACTGGATAAAGAAGCTGTGATATATTCAGACAAAGGAATTCTACTCAGCCATAAAAAAGAATAAAATAACACCATTTGCAACAACATGGATGGACCTGGAGGTTATCATTCTAAGTGAACTAAGCCAGAAAGAGAAAGAAAAATGATATGTTATCATTCATATGTGGAATCTAAAAAACAAACAAAAAAAGTCACAAACAAACTTATTTACAAAACAGAAACAGACCACCAGACAGAAAAGAAACTTATGGTTACCAGGGGGGAAA